AGTTGCCTTTACAAGTTGCTGTTGATCCTCCGCTCACCATTTTACAATTATGTACTCAACTAGAGCAAGTCCATCAAACGAAAGCCCATTTGGGCAACCCTGCAAATAATGAATCCTGCTGTTAACACCCCAAAAAATCACCAACTTAATGAGCCCCAGACCTCTTCCTATACTTGAAGTAAGAACCAAAATAGTTCTCGCTAGCTGGGGAAAAACTGTCGCCTCAAACAAGATATTTTTCCAACAGAGGTGAATCAAGCAGGACACATTCCATGCGGATCTCGCTGAGTTCTGGAACATCAAAACCTTGTCATAGCATGATTGGGTTTACCAGGGCGCAAGGACAGAAAATCAATGAATCGACCAATCATTCAAGAGAACACAGGTCATTGGGGCAAGCCCAATGAGTTTCAGAATGGCAACCTCAAACAAAGGGTGTGTTCATCTGATCAAATGTTTCCTGTTGGCGCGGGGTCCTTCAGCTTTTGCCCACACCCAAAAACTTCATACCAACCCATCCAAAAACGAGAGCACAAGCTTTCAGCTGCCCAAGCACAAGCTTTCAGCTGAACTTCTCCAAGAGATTCTTGGCCCATCCAAAGGCCAAACTGGATGATCTCTTGCTTGGCTACATCTTCCAGCAGAATCTCCTCCTCGCAAGCATGCGAGCTGGATGGCAAATAGGGCATCTTGCTCAGCTGTGCTCCGCAAGATACGGCGCCACTTAACCAAAGAACTTTCTAACACTACTTTATCTGACTGGAAAAGACATGATGTGGATGCAGACATGACCAACTCGACCAAGTCTCCTCCCAAACGAGCTGCTCGCTGGCCACTGTTTGGCCACCTCCTCGCCATGGTTTGTGCTGCAGCTCTTTGTCCAGGACCTTCACCTATCGAAGTCGATTTCACCACTCTCAAAGCTTCTAGAACTCTCGAAGCCTCTGGAACCTTCCCTGCAATAGGCTTTTACACTTGGGTTGACGCTGATGGATAGGGGGGTCCCTCTATAAGCCCCTCCGAAATCGTTGAGCCACCCGGAAGATGTGAGCGAAAACGAAAGCGGTGTGGCCAAAATAGAGCTGCCAAATGCTTTGGGTTTTCCAGCATGTATCGCCAGGTAGTTTGCATCAAAAAAGAAACAAACTTGCCAGGCACATCTATGTCTACCACGCATAGTCCATCTGACGATCGAGTTCCTCGCTTCGAGCACTTGGCGGAATGTACCCGAACCACGAAGGAGCGTAGACTCCAGATCTGCAAGGACATGGGAATAATGGCTTGCCGTACCACGTCGTGAGTGGTAGACTCGTCGGGATCAAAGTGTGGCATCATGCTGGGCAAGGTGGCGTAGAAGTCCTGAGCGGATTGAAGTGACAACTGTAACAACCACTGAGGTTTGGAACCGACTGATATCTACAAGTGAATGGTTGCAAAACTAGTTTGAAGAAGAAGAAGAAGAAGAAGAAGAAAATGGAAGAAGAAGAAGAAGAAGAAAAAGAAGAAAACGATGCAATTTCTATAGAGGATGACTGCTCCGCGGATTCCGCTGGTTTCTTCTTTCCCGAGAATTTCTGCAGAGATCCTCCACCGATGGCGCAATTGGTATAGGCACTAAATGACTGGGGAGTGCGTTCGCAGGTGCATCCCGAAATCCCCATGGAACCGTTCCAAAGAACGGCCCATGGACACCACCGCACATGGACAGCCGGACTTGCCATGTCAGGCGAAGTGCACCTCCTACACATTGCAACCGTGCATCCAGCAGTTGACGGATTGTAATGCCTCGCATGGCCAATTCCTCCACTTTTTCGGCCCATGCAGCGTCCTGTTCTTGGGATGGATCCTCATCGAGGAGATCAAGATCCAATGCCAACCTTAGACGCTCGAACAGTTTGTATAATTCGAGAAACAACTAGTTCACTCACACTCCCTACCACAACTCAACCATCCCTGCTCCTGAAGATCCTGAAGCCGATTCACAACCTATTTTCAGAGCTAATCGTCGAAGTTCAAAAAGGCCACAACTATTACGCACCCTCATCAATCTCAAAAGCTTTTGAAAAGAGTCCATCTGGTGATTCACACATGAAAGAGTAGTTGTTTGGTGATTTGCACAAAGACTGAGCTCCTTCCAAACATGAAATCAAACACTGCAACCTCTTGACCTCTCTTGTTCCAAGGAATTTGTGGCTGAAGCTGCAGTTGGATATATAGTCTCTTTCAGCTGGCAGACGGACAAGGCTTCTACAGAACGAGGGAAGGAATCCCAAGACAGTCGACAGTAGCTGGGCTCTGGATCCAGAGATGGCTGGTTCAGGTCATTCTCTCATCCTATCTCATCCTTCAGGCGGTTTGACATTCTGGATCAATTTGTGTGGGGTCAACGCTGAGCACTCCAATCAAACATTCAACAGAATAGATCCGAGTGGTAGACTCCGCATGGAGAGTCCCACGATGCAGGGAGATGTTGACATCTGACCCACGCCCAGCAAACCCTGTCAAGGCCAGGCCAGCTGAACTTAAACCCTACCATTGGTCCCATAGTAGTGGATGTTCGATGGAGTATCGATCTTGCCAGTCCTCTGCCCCCCTTAACATGGATCACAACTCCCAAGTCTTGTGATTCCAGTAGCAGGAGCAGTCTTCGTCACCCAAGGTTTGAAAATACAAATGGAAATGGCTACAGTACTTCTAAGGCCTTTCGTTGGCTGAGAAGCAGCCATCTCTAATGACCTGTGCCTGCTGTGCCTGTTCCCTCCTAATGGCCAGTATCCGTTCTGCCAATGAGGAACTTTTTGGGTGGCGTCGTTCTGAACTCCTGAGTCGCCAAGGGCCCAAGTAGACACTGAGTTCTAAAAAAGAACTAATAATAACAACAATGAAAAATAAACGCTCTCCTTCTTCACCAGAAACTTTCGGATATCACAGGAATGATTCATGGACCCAAAAAAAAAGAGCCTCATCCAGCCGTATCCAGCCAGTGTTTCCACATTCCACAAGACAACAAAAGAAGACAACACGTTTTCGGATGTGCAAGGATCAGGCCGCGCAAGGGCTGCTGTGAGGGTAATGGCACCAGAGAAAAAGCATGCTAGCCTCAGTGAAACTCCCAAAATGTTTGTGGGACTTGTTGTGTCGAAAATGTCATTGGCTTCAGCCAAATGTGAAATGTCTTATGTTTTTCCAGCAATTAGTTTCTTAGAAGTGTTTTGGTTGGTGTTCGAGGCTTCAAAAATGAGTAGACACCACTCTCCAAAAAGTTTAGGCGAGTATGAATTATGAACAATGTTTCTTTGGTGGTTATGGCTCTGATGATGAGTGGCGACGAGTGGTATTCGGCTTACCTTATTATTGAATTTACAAAGCTTCTGAGGAAAACAAAGTCTGGAGATGCTGTGTTTTTCCGAGAGACCAATTTTCCTCTGACCGGTGTGTCCTTTCCCGCCCCCAAAGTACTAAACACTTCTTCCACGTGTGGCCGCAGTGCACAAGACATTTAACACACCCAAAAGACGGTGGGTTGCGCCGTCTTTCATGGGCCAACCTTTGGTCAAGCACAAACGCCCTTCTTCTAGGGGGATGCCGCAAAACGTTGAACCGGACACAAGCAAGTTTGGTCTAGTTGTCCAACTACCAAGGTTGGTGCACCCGAATGTTCAGCTGAAAGTCAAAACGACACTGACGCCTGGAATCAGGAGCAGCGACACTGGTGGAATCACGTGGCGACCGCCGAGTTTGGTCTATGCAGGCCAGCCACACTGGGACGATCAGAAGCTTGCGGATGATGACCACTGAAAAGGAGATGAACCACTTCCATTCCTAGGATGACTCTTGTGGGGGTGTCACACCAAGTGTAAAGAGCAAAGAAGTCCACCAACCCACTAAGCCACCAATTTTGGGGACTCGCGTCACACGAGAGCAGTCTAAAGGTCTGACTGCTTAGGCAAGCATCATGCTCTTCACCTGCGCAGGTCTCTCTCAAACATGTTTGATTGCAGGATAGTTCGCTTGGGTGGGTCAGAAACCACAAACCCTAGCCCTAGACAATACTAAGCATCGACCTTAGGGGGGAGCCAACCTTCAGAATCGAAGGGGGCATGCGTAGGACGGCGAACAGGGACCGGCGGCTTCGGCCCCAAAAGGCCGTGCGAGTTCGGCGCCAGCAAGGCCATGCTCCGGCGGAATGCGAAGGCTATCTGCGCCGCGAAGTGATAAGGCGGGTGTCGAGGACTTCGAGGCAACTTGGGTCCTGGTCCTCCAAGAGAAGTGGCAAACCCCTCTAGCTTCCAGATCTGGAGAACGAGAAATCTGTTGAATTGCGGAGAAGCACGTTGCGACGTGTGAATTGCTGTTGCTTTCCTTTTCGAAGGAGAAATCACTATGCCGCATGCCTGTTGATCAAACGTCGATGATTTCTTGGAGGAGGGTGTCCGGGAAAGTCACTGTGACAACACTCATATAGCTGTTGCCAGGGGCACAAATGCAAAAGAGTTGCTAGCAATAGCAGTGGCAGAAAGTTGCAGATTCATGCTCGTACCTACAGTCCGCAATGAACCCCAAGTAGATAGAAACTGAATTGAATCACCTTGAACCTTGTCCGCAAGATATCTTGGATTTCTATATTGGAAAACATATCTTTTGGGGATGCTTTGTACTTATGTGTTCAGGACTCCCGCTGCCTAGATTGGCCAAGAAGGCGGTGATCAGCAGCAGATGGAATGCAGAGAAGGCAAAGCTCACCGTCCAAAAAGCCATGTCCTTGCACCAGCGCTGGCCTCAAGTTATGCATTTCTCTGACAGGTGCGACAACACTTATATAGGGTCATGTCTAGCAGGAACCCCAAGCTCAACAAACAGTTGGTTGGGCTTGCCAACCCACCTTCCCTGCCAAGCAGTTCCAAGTCATCATGCAGAGGTCCATGTTGTTTCACGCGCCCCGCTCCACCCCAAAACTATCTTGAGTTTAGCTCCCCATCTTTCTGGATGATTCTGGAAAGGCATCAACCTCCCAGACCTCATCTTGACTCAAGATGACTCATCTTCAGATGTCCACTTGTGCTCCACAAAATCCTTTTGGAAACCTCCAGGTCTTCGACTGGTCAACCTTTGTCGAAACACCAAAAGCCCACTCAGCCAGCACACATTGCTGCTTCCGAACGTTCTCGTCCCGCTTCGTGAAGCTTCTTCGGGCCAAGCGGTACATGAAACTGCGCGGCACAACATTCAAGCACACCTCGGCCAGGAAGTCACCGATGGACGAATCCATCTAACCATGAGAGCTCAATGCGGAAATCACAAACCAGGAGGTAACCAGGAGGTTAAAAGAATAAACAACAAACTGATTTGTAGTCATGGTCATTTTCAAGGGGGAGCCACTGCTTTCCTTCAACACCTGAATGGACGAGATACGGAGACCATGGCCACAAGGACATACCACAAAGCGCTTCCTTGTTGAATCGGGCAGTCTGAAGGATTTCGGGCGGCCACAGCAGACCCATCCACAGAGAAGAACAAGGCCACGAAGCCCAGCGAACCAAGGATGCAATCAGCGTTGATCTTCGCCCGCTTGGCAGCGGTCAAGTGCAAGTCGCATTGACGCACTTCATAGATGGGATTGGCCGACCAGAAGGTTGACCAAAGCAGCAGGAGTCCTGGCGCTTCATCACTCCACCCGAAATTCCAAAGCCGAGACCACAGTCGTTCGAAGGCCCAAAAAGGAGCCCAGCCCAAAATGAAAGAGAGCTTTGAAAGCCCAGTCCTGATCCATGTACAGCAAAGAAGACTTACGGCAGAGTTTCAACCATGTCCGCTTTCATGGCTTTCAGCACAGAGGAGTTTTCCAGCGATGGACTACCTTGGACCCAACCTGAGTTCCGGATGAACACGACATCACTGCAAGTCAGCACGTGAAACAGGCAATGAAGTCTTTTGCAGTATCACCTAAACCCTTAGACTCCTACTAACTAATCTTAACACAACTCAGCACAAATGATCAGAGATCAAACACAAGACAGCATGCACAAGTTAAAGGAATTGAATTGGAGACTTGTCCAAGGCTCCATTCTCACCCCAGATGTGCTGCTCAATGCAACTGATGGTGAGGCCATGCCGCAGTGAAGCTTCCCGAAGGGTATTTTGCACAAGCACACGCTCTTGCATCTTGGACAGGCTCCGTTTTGTCCGGATCTTCTCCTCAGAAAGTGTAGCCCACACAACAAACCACACGGCCACATCAACCGGTCGATACCCGCGGGCCCCGGAATCGACACGGATGGGCTTTTCGGCTTTCGTCCATAGGCTTGATCGGAGCAACAACACAGCTTCTCGGGCAGCCAAGGGGAGACATGCCCCAAACTGGGCAACGACAAACCTTGGGATTGCTTCACGGGTGATCTGAATACGTCCTGTTTCAGACCACGGCTGGACGCCATGGCCATCAGATTGCTGAGTCTCTTGAATGGATTGCAGCTTGGAGTTTGCATCGTTGACGGTGCTGCGATCTGCTTGCTCGCTCTCAGCTGCACGCTTTGAGTTGGACCGCTTTGTCACTGGCAGCACTTCGAGCAGCAAGAACTGATCCCGCCAAAGTCCTGAGATAGATAGTCAGTTAGTCATCCTCTAGGGAATTCAATCAAGAACATTACCAAGAAATATGATTGTGACCTAAGTTCAGGTCTTTTTCCATCGCAAGCCTTTATCTTGTTCCATGTCTGCCAAAGTCCTGTCCGCCCGTGCTTCCGGTCTTGTGCAAAGCCAAAGAGGAGGAGAAGCCACAAACACCTCCAGTGACGAGCTTTCGCCGTTGCAACAGTTCCGCAAACATTGACATGATGGAATACCGAAGCCCACCAAGTGCTTCAACTGGATTGATTTGAAGTCATGCAAAATTCGGGCTACCAAATGACAAGAAATAAAACTATAAGAAAGTTGACCGATTTCATTCATTTGTCCGTTTTCTTGGTTTTGCAACTCTTGGGAAATGATATGGCTGTTGGCTACAAGTGCACACGCATAAGTCTTTTCCTTTTCTCTTTCGGTCCAGCCACAGGACCAAGAGGAAGAAGCTTGCGGCCGGTAGACGAGTGATCTTGAGGTTTTGGATCTCCGCCAGACCTTTCAGGGCAGGTGAGGCACGTGCCTGCTTCCGTTTTCCGGTCTGGCCAGAAAAGTTAAGGACGTTTTGAAGTCGCCATGATGAAATCTGTGCGCCAAATCTTGCAAAACAGGTCTTTCAGCCATTACATAGGCCAACAATCAAGGCATCCTTCCTTCTTGTCAAAACAAGGATATGATCCCCCCAAACAGGTTGCTCGCAACTAAGGGGTTCTTACTCTTTGGCTTGCCTGGAAAGATTGAATTCCAAAATCATGATTTGCATCGGGAAGGGTTTGAACCAAGGACTGCGCTCCTGGATAAGAGACTTCCACAGAGCTGCTGTTCTTGGACGCCCCTTGATTTGTAAACCGGAAAAAAAGCATGCCCGCGGTTGATTTCCAAAGCTTTGTGGGAACACAGGAACCTAAGTAAACAAGCTTGCAATAGGTTGCTGTAGGGTGGCAAGTACTGCCACCACAAAGTTTCTTCAGGACATGCGCACAGCACACGACCCTTTTGAGCGACACCCAAGACTTCAAGACCGCCCGAGCCGGGTGTTTTTGCCAAAGAGGAACCGAATTGATTAAACAAACACAAAGCCTAAAGAAACGAAACACGAGGAAGGGGCCGATATGAAAGGTATTCGTGGAAATAAAACGTCAAATGGATGAAGCTTGTGGTCGCCGCCGTCGCCCGACCAGGCCGCCTTCTTGGGACAATACCTGACCATCTGACATCAACTTGCTCAAAATGATGCCAGCATCATAAAACTCTACATCCAGGCTGCATAACGGTGGCAAGACTACTACAAGACCCCGAAGAACAATCCCTTCAAAATGCACATCGTCAATGTTATCATCATTGCCATTGCCAACTGCTCCTGCTGCTGCCTGCTGCCTGGTACCTCCTTCCTGGTACATCCTTCCTCCTGCTCCGCTCCTGCCACCCCCCACCGCTACTGCCACCCCAACCCAGCTGCTACTGCTCCTCCTACTGATCCAGCCTGCATTATGCACATCTGGTGAACATTCCCACGCGTTTCAGACTTTTCATCCCCTACACTACAAGGGCATCGATATGGCATCGGGCCTTTTTCCCGTGTATCTCCGTCTTTGAGCTTTGAACCCATGTTTTTGCCGAGAAAACCAAGCACACAATGCACTACCATGGTCATTGATGCATTTGTGCAGCTCTGGAACGTTGGCATTTGTGCAATCCAGCAGGGCGTCAAAGACACCGAAAAAAGTGAGGTGGTAGGTGACGCACCACACACCTGTTCAGGTCGTTTGGATCTGGCTTCTAGATTGGTGACATTCATCCGACAAAGAACCCCTCTTCATCGCACAAACCGACCAAACAGTCTTCCGCACAAACACTTCGTCCCTTGTGTCGCGTCCAATTCCTGCCGTCAAAAGTGCCTAACAACCTTTTTCAAGCAGCCCCAACATTGTCCGTTGTCGCCCGAAAACGGACTGGGATGACTGCAAGCTGCTGAAGAAAAAAGAAGAAGTAAGAAACATCTACAAATAGTGAGGAGTTCAGCAACTTCTCTGCCTCAAAAAACGCCTTGCGAAAAGCAACTTCCTATTCCGGTGCTTGTCTATTCGCACTTCTGTTTGGACTGTTGAAGTCGATGCTCTGACAAAAACATGAATAATTCTTGTTCCCTAAACCCAAACTTAGAAGTCTCCTAGTGTAGCTCCTACAGGATTCAATGTAGTTTTCTCAATAAACCTATTCCCAGACCTTATCATAAGATTTGACGATCAAAACTACCACACCCACAACCAGCACTTTGCTTCACACCTGGAACTTCGACGCCAAACGAAGCTCGAAGTTCTTCTGGAGTCGCCATATGAAGGCCTTCTGTGGACCAGGTCCCGTTGCCCTCGTGGCGGCAAGCGAAACTCAACAAACCCAGTGACGCATGGTGCACAACCATGGAAAACCGGGACGTCTCCAAGAAAATGAAAACTTCACGTTGCTGACCATCTTGCAACGCATTCTTTGTCACCGGTGTCCACCCTGTGATATTGATGAGAGGCATTTCAAAGTCCAGCATACAGGCACGTACTGGCTGCCAAATGGACATGGTTTCTATCTGCAGGGAAAGCCCTTGGTAAAACACAATAGCAACAGAGTTAAAAACAACTGGAGAAGCAAAGGAGGAAGCCATCCTTGTTCATGGTTGCCAATGATTGTCGATGGTCAACCTATATAGGTCGTTTATACCATGGGTCGTGATTGTTTGTCATTCACTTCGCCCTAGGGGGCGAACTGCTGTCAATGGTGAGATGGAGTCGCTCACCATTTGAGGACACCAACAAAAGTCCACAACCAGAAGACCCCATAAGTTCATAGAAAAGAACTCCACGCTGATAAAACACGGGGCTACTGCAATGCAAAACTGACTCGACCGGTATATATATATAGAGAGAGAGAGAGCAACTCCACCTTCTGGAATTGACCGCTTCCCCTGGCACCATGGAAAACGGTCCATCTTTTGGCATCCCTTGAAGTCTCAAATCTCATCTCGCCGTGGCCTCCTGGAAGGCGCAGACCCAAGAAGGCCCTGGTGTGGCATTCTTGGACAACTGCACCTCAGTGCCCCGCGGTCCGCGTGGGCGAAAGCGTGGAACACGGGCTACGTTTCATGTTCAACGCTGAGCGGCAAAGATGGGGCTCTCGGTGCGAATGCTGGCCTTTTCCCAGGTCCTGAATTGCCGGATCTCTAAGCCCAGAGCAACTTGAAGTACAACTTGCAAGGCTTTGAAGACTAAGGTTTCAAACAAAATGGACTTAAGGAAACTCATCACAAACACAAAGAAAAGTGTGGATGGTTGGACAGAACACCCCAGAAGCGGTGATCATGATTGTGACTGGTGATGATAATCACGACTGATGACAACTGTGATCGACTATGCTTATGTACACCCAGTTGCAGGTGTCTGCTGGTGGTGGTGCTGGTGGTGCTGGTGGTGCTGGTGGTGCTGGTGGTGCTGGTGCTAGTGCTGGAACACAGACTTGCACAAATTCTAGATCAAAAAATTGCACACAATCTACTGAAAAATCAGTTTTGACGCTCAACAATGCCAACGAAAGCCCAAGCAAAGCTTACTTCGCCTGCCGGTGCGGGTGCGCATGATCGACACGTCCACAGCAGGGAGGCCCACGCTGGCCAGTGGCTGGCCATTCTCCTCAGGCACCCCTAAGCTGCCCGTCACCTCTTCATTGAACGCAGTCAGGACAAGCACTTGATCTCCACCCAAGACCTGCCGGAAAGAGCATGTCCGTCCGATGAACAAGCTGACTAGAGAGTGTTCACCGGGAAAATGGCGACAAAAAAAAAAGCTCTGACCGTCGCAGCGATTCCCTGTTGCCCAGTTTGGGATCCAGGGATCCCAGCTCATGGGCATTCCCGTTCGCATGTGCTTGGGGAAGGCGTTCTTATTGTGTCATGAACCGTTTGTGTTGTCAAACAAATTCACAAGCGAAAGAACCCGTGCGATTGCGTTCAAACGTCTGAACCGCACCTGGTGCGTGGCAAAGCACATGTCTGACCACGTGAAGGGGCAAGAACCCAGGAAATTCGAGGTCCAACCATCCCGCTTTCACCAAAGGCAGACCCTTGTAAGGACGGACCAACCCAGTCTGACGGGTGGGATCAAAATTGAACAAACCAAAAAGGTCAAATGAAAAACAAGTAGGGATTTGTTTTTTTGTTAATGTCTATGTGTCTCTTATGGATGCCTCTCGGTGACCGTGAGTGCGGTGCCGTCTCCGACCTCCGGTGGAAAGGCTGCGCCAGCTTCCAGATCTGGAAGAAAGAGCGAATAAGTCCCAGCGCTGGTGGCATTCACTAACCTGCAGTCGTTTCAGACAGCTTGCACCAGCTGTGACATATTCGGACTAAATCAGAGCTCATTTTCTTGACCTCAGAATAAATCATATAAAAACCGCCTTTGGACTTATTGACCCGCCTTTCTGACGGACGACTCTTGAAATATTGCTAAGCTTGGAACGCCATGGCAGTCATGTTTCCGAGGCTGGTCTCCAGAACTTGTCCCTCGTTGCTGTCGCTGAGCTGACCTCAAGGCCCACTCACATGTCGTGACGTGGCTATGTCTCAAGACTGTGGCTGAACAAAAAAGAGCGAAGTAGCCGAAGTCAAAACCAGGGTGAACTCACTTAGTGATGAAGAGAAGTCAGAACTTCATTAGAAAAAAGAATGAAAGTTGGTATGGTGAACTTCTCGATGACAGGAATGGTCACAAATGAAGCAAAATGACTCTTGAGCACCGCGTCTGAAAGTGAAAACCGACTCCAAAGCGCTCATCAAGTGCCGAACTCGGAACGAGGCTCGGCTCCGATGATAGGAAGAGAAAAACATCTCAGTTTTCAATTGAGCGGATCATTCTATAAAATAACATGCCTGTCATAATATGTCACATATGTCATAAGAGAGACAATTTTGCCATCTCAACTGATACGAGGCTGGTCGGTTGAGAAATGACCAGCAACTGAACCCTTGAACGTTCATGAACGCTTCGCAAGATTCGCAAGCCATCTTGCTCAAGGTGCTGGCACCGGAGCGGGTGAGCAAAAGCAGCCAATGCCGGACCGTTCTTCTACTTAACTGTCCTTCCAAAACTCTTTCTACCAAGAAGCTCGCGAGCCACTGGGCACCGCGATCGAGCTCATCGACGACCTCGCCCACGCTGACGTCTTGCGAGAAGTTCCGCGGACTGAACTGGGTCCAGGTCGTTGAGCTCGACAATGTCTGCGGAAGATCAAGGGTGGATCGATGTTCATGCAAGGGCGAACCAGGTGTGTTGCAGTTTGACATGAGGCGACGGCGATGGACTTAATAGGTGTTACAAACAGCAAGCAGGGTTATGCAGGGTTGTAGGAGAAGCGCGTTCAACGAAAAGAAGGTCTTGTCAAAAATACCCAAAATGTTGGCACTTCATGTTTGATGCCGTTTTTTGAGATTGAAAGCACGCAAGCCTGACTTGTAGACGTTGAGGTCACAGTAGTCGCAGTCTGGGCTCGTGGTCAAAACGGATGGAATTTTGGCTGGTGAAGACCGAACTTGTCGGGGACAACATGGGGCAGCAGGCACAAAAGCAAGGGAATCTACATGATTAGTTCCACTGCGCCTGCGACTTCGAAGTCGATGTTCCACTGAATGT